AGAAGACAGCAAAATCTGGTTGAAAGTCGTATGGATAAGCACTGCATATGTAGAAAAGTATGTCTCATGTAAAGACTGAGGGAACCTTCAAAGGTACAGGGAGAACAAGGTATGAGAGCCAGGAGGACAGCAGGCAACAGAAGGCAGGAGCACAGTGACATTGAGCCCCCAGAGGTTAGGATGCTGAGACAGGATAACCTTCCAGGTAACCTCAGTTCACTTAATGGTAACAGAAAAATGTAACTCTATACAGGAAAGTATTTCATATTTCAGATCTCTACCTAATGACGTCCAGCGTTCTTTCTTCCTGTGTTGACCACAGTGACATAATCAACCTTGACCTTTAGGGAACAGTGCCCTTTCCTGGGTCACAACGCAGAGCTCAGAGTCCATCTTCCTATTTGGGTTGCTGCTGTGTAGGAAACAAAACAAGAAAAGGCATTTCTGATGCTATCAAACCCAATAATCGTCCCAGGGGGACAAGGCACATTGAAGAAAGACAAGGACCAATCTGTGAGACACAAGAGCAAAGGCACTTAGGGTACAGGCGCTTGGCCTCATGCTTGAGACCACTGGAACCTCTTCATCCCACACCAGGGAGCCTGGCTCAAGTCCCAGCTATGCTCCCAAATTCCAGTTCCCTGTCAATGTGTACCCTGGGTGGCTGCAGATGATAGCTTAAATAACTGGGTTCCAACCACGTATGGGGGAGACTAAAGTTGAGTTCTCAGTTACTGACTTTGGGAATGTAGCAGTGGATGGGAGATGCCCCCACCTTCTCCCCACTCACCCCCACTTCCCACTCTAGGTCTCAAAGTAAACTAGGAAAAAAAAAGACATCCAAGTAGCAAACCAGGGTGACTGTCTCATGGAAATGCAAACAACACAAGGCCTAATTCAGGGCATCGGAAAGCACAACAAAAGCCATCCACGTCAAGACCTTTACCTGGCAAAGAGGGGATTTTTCTCCCATTATTTAAGCCTTCAAATCGAAAACCTAAAGGAGATAAACAGTAACTCAACATTGTGAATGAGAAGTCACATTTAGAGAGTGCACTGTCCCACTCGTAAGGCATTACTTTATCATCATTCTGTAATTCTACTGAGGTGAAAAAACACAAACACAAAGAGAGACCATCTTTACTTTGGTGAACTTTGGGTACGGAGAGACATACTGGCTTTCTATTTTTGTCATCAACACACATTTACCGCATGATAGCTCTGGAATTCCCAAGTACAACATGGGTCTCAGAGGACTAAAATCCAGGTATTGGCAGGGCTGCCTCTTTCTCCCCGAGTATCACCTTATGCTAAACCTAGTAGATAGGGCCTGGCACAATAGTGTAGTAGTTAAAGTCCTAGCCTTGAATGCGCCAGGATCCCATATGGGTGCCAGTTCTAATCCCGGTGTCCCACTTCCCATCCAGCTCCCTGCCTGTGGCCTGGGAATGTAGTCGAGGACAGTCCAAAGCGTTGGGACCCTGTACCCACGAGGGAGACCTGGAAGAGGCTCCTGGCTCCTGGCTTTGGATTGGCTCAGCACCAGCTGTTGTGGCCACTTGGGGAGTGAACCATCGGACGGAAGATCTTCCTCTGTCTCTCCTCCTCTCTGTAAATCTGCCTTTCCAATAAAAATGAATAAATCTTTAAAAAAAAAAAAAAACAACTTGGAGATAGTCCAAGGCAATTTCGTCCTACCTTAAAGTCCTCGGTAGAAGCATATCTGCAAATTCTGTCTTGCAAGAGAAGGTATGATAGTCACTGGTCCTGGGGATAATCTGTCTATTCCAAGGCACAGATGAGCTGAAAGCTTCCAGCTTCAGCAGGAAGGCACAGGCCTGATCATGCTAAGTATACAGGCTTCATGGCTTTCTGGATCCTAACAGCTTTTCAACTGAATTCCCACTGCCCTTGTTTCATCTCCTCTAAGACTTACTATTATCCCCCTTGGTCATGGTCCTTTGTGTTGTTCTTGCACCAATCAGTAGCTCTTTGCCAGGCCCTCTGTTCTGGCCCTTGAACATTTTCCTGACACTATCAGTAACTATTTGTCTCCTTTATAAGAAAACAAACCATTTGGGAATTAGGACCGATCTCTCCATCCTAGAATGATGCTAATCTGGTACTTGCTATTTCATATTCATTGGGATATCTGGCAACTGTCAATATTTACCTAACACCCACAATATTAACTTCTCTGCTTTCCAAGGAATCTGTTTCAACCAGTACTAAGGGTCAGGACCCACAACTGGACAAGACCTAGCCAAAGGATGTGTTTCTCTCAGACACATGGAACACTTTTTTTTTTTTTTTCTGACAGAAAAGTTTATTTTTGAAGGGACCAGGTGAGCAGGGAAGGGAGAGAGAAGTAGAAAGCACCTCCAGAAAGCCAGGAGGTGGGGTGCCTCTGGAAAGAGGAGGGAGAGACAGACACATGGAACACTTAATTTTTAATCAAAGAAAATGGGATCTCTTTAAATTCTAAGTTTAGCAGTTTTGCATCTGTAAAGAAAGGGCAAAAAAAAAAAATCAGTAAAAAGGATCCAGCAGCCAGGAAGTTAAAATTTTGGGGCCAGCAGAGATGGTCAAGACATATTTCAAGCTATGAAAGCCAAGAATGGTGTACTTCTGGGCCTGGCGCAATGGCCTAGTGGCTAAAGTTCTCGCCCTGAATGCGCCAGGATCACATATGGGCACCGGTTCTAATCCTGGTGGCTCCACTTCCCATCCAGCTCCCTGCTTGTGGCCTGGCAGGGCAGTCAAGGACAGCCCAAATCTTTGGGAACCTGCACCTGTGTGGGAACCCCGGAGGAGCTCCTTGCTCCTTGCTTCTGGCTCCGGATCGGCGTAGCTCTAGCCACTGTGGTACTTGGGGAGTGAATCATCAGACAGGAGGTCTTCCTCTCTGTCTCTCTTCCTCTCTGTATATCTGACTTTCCAATATTTTTTTTTTTTTAAAAGAATGATGTACTTCTTGGAGATAGTGTCATGGCATACCAGGCTAAGCCTCCATTTGTGGTGGCAGCATTGCATATGGGTGCCAGTTCAAGTACCCGATGCTCCCCTTCGGATCTGGATTCCTGCTTATGGCCTGGGAAAGCAGAGGAAGATGATCCAAGAGCTTCAGCCTCTGCTCCCATGTGGATCTTCAGCTGAACCCAAATGTGGCCATTTGGAGAGTAAACCAGGGGATGGAAGAAATCTGACCCTCTTTTTCTCTCTGAATCTGCCTTTCAATTAAAAGTAAATAATTCTTTGAAGAATGGTCCACTTCTCAGAACTTACCAAATTCATAGTTAAAATGCATGCATTTCACACAAATTTTACATCAAAGAAAAACCTAATTTTAGATAATATTTACACATTTTGAAGTTTTTAGGGAAAATGTATAGATGTTCACAATTTATTTGAAAAGTAATGGATGCAGATAGATAGATTATAATTAAGCATAGTGAAATATCAACAGTAGAGTCCAGATCAGAGGTTCATAAATATTCACCACATAGTTCTAATTTACCTACATACTCAAACTTCATGATAAAATGCTGTGTAAGACAAGGAAGAACACAGGTATTACGTGGGAAAAGGCAAAAATCATGTTTTTGGATGTTAGTCTTGAGTCAGAGAAACATATTTAGCGCAACGGAAATCCCTACCACACTAAGTACAAATCTAATGTCACAGAAGACTAAAGTGCTAGAAAGAGTACTGCAGCTGAAAGTAAAATACTGTAAGCAGTACAGCAATATTAACCAGTGTTCTTACAAAAAAACAAAGCTTTGGTGCTTAACTTGCTACTTGAAGAAAACCAAGGGAAGTCATCATTTCACGAGTTTGCCTTTAACAGAAACTTTCTCCCTCAACTCTGAACAAATGAATGATACTTTCAAATAACATGAAAGTTCCTAAGGGAAACAACAAGGAAAAAAAAAACAGGTTTGGATGTAGGCATCCGTTCTAGTAGATGAAACACCCACATGCCACACTGGAATAGAGTTCAGTTCAGCTCCACCGAGAGGTCCCGACATGCAGCACTGGCAGCTCTAGTAGTCAGGTTTCTGCCTCACACACACACCCTGCCTTTCTCATTCACACACACACACCCTAAGTCCCTTTCTCTCATACACACATACCTTGCCTTTCTCACACACTGTCTCCTTTTCTCTCTCTCACACACACACATACCCTAAATCCCTCGCTCTGATAAATCCCTTTTTCTTACACAAACCTTGTCTCCCTTTCTCTCACACACACACCCTGCCTCCGTCTCTCACACAGACACACACACACCCTGCCTTTCTCTCACTCTCACACAGACACACACACACCCTGCCTCTCTCTCACACACACACACATACACACACCCTGCCTCTCACTCTCACACAGACACACACACACCCTGCCTCCATCTCACACACACAGACACACACACACCCTGCCTCCCTCTCATACACACAGACACACACACACCCTGCCTCCCTCTCACACACACACACACACACACACACCCTGCCCTTCTCTCACTCTCACACACACACACACACACACCCTGCCTCCCTCTCATACACACAGACACACACCCTGCCTTTCTCTCACTCTCACACACACACACACACCCTGCCTCTCTCTCACTCTCACACACACACACACACACCCTGCCTCCCTCTCATACACACAGACACACACCCTGCCTTTCTCTCACTCTCACACACACACACACCCCCTACCTCCCTCTCACACACACAGACCCACACACACCCTGCCTCCCTCTCACACACACACACACACCCTGCCTCCCTCTCACACACACACACCCTGCCTCCCTCTTTCACACACACACACACCCTGCCTCCCTCTCACACACACACACACACACCCTGCCTTTCTCTCACTCTCTCTCACACACACACACCCCTTGCCTTTCTAACATGCACCCTGCCTCTCTCACAAACATAACACAACCTGCCAGCATTTTCAGATTAATCCAACAGAAATCCAGACGCGTTGGCACAGTGGCACAGCACATTAAACCGTGGCTGTTCCACCTGGGACCCAGCTCCCGCCTCAAGCCCTAGGAAAGCAGGGGCCGCACCGGGGCCCCGCGCCAAGCCGGCGGACGCCTCTCGCGGGGCGCCAACCGCTCAGTCCCTCAGTCAACAACCGCCAACAAGGTCCGCGATGGCGACGCGGCCAGCGGCCTTTCGGGAAGCCGTCACGGGGCAGCAGCCCGCCACGCGCGTCCTCTGCCCGGGTTTCCCTCAGTGGCGAGGCGCCCTCCCACTCGCCCTGACAGCCGCGGCCAGAGGGAAGGCAAAGCGACGCCGGACGCCGCGCCCCGACCCGCGCGGAAGGCGGACTGCGCCGCGGCCGATGCCACGGGCTCCCGAGGGGGTCACCGTCCTGGCCGGAGGACTGACACGGATCTCGCCGCGATGCACCGACACTCGCAGGACCCACCAGAAGGTTCGGTAGGCGAAGCGATCCCGGTTCGCGATCAGCCGGCCGGGACTCACCGCCCGCGGCCGAGCCCCACGCCCTGCGCCGGCGCTGCTCTGACGTCACGCGCGTCGCCGCCACTGCTGCGGCTCCACGCAGGAGCTGCGGCGTCCGAAGGCGCGTCTGCCGAAGGCCTCCTGGGAAGTGTAGTGCGGGCGCCCGGGGGACGCGCCAGGGACGCCCGGAAAGCAGCTCGGGGGTGCCCAGGGGGTTATTCCTATCTAAATTCATTGGTTCCTTGGGATTCGCTGCTGAGTCTCCTTGCAGTACCCCGCCCACCTGTTGTGGACGGCCTCAGGCCGGTTTCCTCTCATCTTTTAACAGCTCGTTCCCCTCCTGCCTTCCGGGATGTCCTAATGATGTAGACTGGTGGATAGTCACCCTTCTAGGGTGTAAATTGCTGAGTATTTCTCAGGCTTGCACCATCCTGGCTTGCAGGACCACCCTAACTTTCACCTATTTACTCTTCTGTGTTAACATCTCCCACTTCTTGGAAACCACAACTCCTTTTTTAGTGAATTGCAACTGTTTTGCTTTCTGTAAAAGTTTATATATGACAAAAAATTATTTTGTTCTCACATCTGTACCTTGTATAACAGCCCTAAGAAATTTTTTCCCATTATAATTTCTCATTTTTAAAAAATTTGTTGATGTTTACATAGGTAATTAGAGTGGGAGGAGTCTAGGATTAGGAAAAAGTGGGTGAGACCAGTGTTTCCAAATTTTTTCTTCTTCCTGTATCTGAGGGGGCGGGGGAAGAGAAGAAGAGAAGCCACATCCAGTATCCCAACCACATCAATACCCAGGGTCCTCGATGTGGAGCATGCTCTGAGGGTTCTGCTCAAGTGGTTTCAAAGCTGAGATGGTGTCAATCTCACAGCTCCAAGGATGAGAAAATCCTTCCAAGGTCCATTGGCTGACATTATCCATCTTAAGAGTCTTCATTCACCCACATATTTGCTGCAAATACTTGGCGTGGGTAGTTCACTATTTGTTCTGCCCTCCTTCCTTTGCTATGGTACCAGATGTCCTCTGTAGGCTCCAACAGACTGCCATATCCTCCATGTGCATCTGGGCATATCATCCACTGCTCCGTCTAAGCCACTGAGGAGGCCCAGTTCTGGCACATGCATTTCACAGTCAGTCCACTGATTCTGCAGTTCTCCTCATGGTTGGAGTTCTGAGTCCAGTGGTTCCATTGGAGATATGCCCAAAGAAACCTCATCTGAAGTGATCTCAGACCTGACTCCTGTGTGTGCTTGCCAGTACAGGGTCCAGCTCAGTCTCATCCACATCAACCTATGCACACATTGGTAGTTGCAATTACTGGGTCAGTTCTGTATCTAGCCCTGTCTTTTTCTTTTCTTTTCTTTTTTTAAGATTGGAAAGTCAGATTTACAGAGATGGAAAGACAGAAAGTAAGATTCTCCAGCTGTTGGCTCACTCCCAAGTGGCCACAACTGAGCTGATCTGACAGCAGGAGCCAAGAACCTCCTCCAGGTCTCCCATGTGGGTGCAAGGTCCCAAGGCCTTGGGCCCTCCTTGACTGCTTTCCTGAGCTACAAAGCAGGGAGCTGGATGGAAAGTGGAGCAGCTGGAACACTTCCCTTCCAGTTCCCTGCTTGTGGCCTGGGAAAGCAGCAGAGATGGCCCAAATTCTTGGGACCCTGCACCTGTCTGGGAGATCTGGCAGAAGCTCCTAGCTCCTGATCAGCTCAGCTCCAGTCATTGCAGTCCCTTGGGGAGTAAACCAGCAAATGAAAGATCTTTCTCTGTCTCTTCTCTCTGTATATGTGCCTTTCAAGAAAAACAAAACAAAAACTGTAAATAGATTTGCTCACCTTCCAGATCAAAGCAAATTTTCTCTGATGATGTCACTTTTGCCAGCTCTGCAGCTGATAATGCTAGAACAATATTTTTTTAAAAAAGATTTATTCATTTTTATTGGAAAGGCAGATGTACAGAGAGGAGGAGAGACAGAGAGGAAGATCTTCCATCTGATGGTTCACTCCCCATGTGGCTGCAATGGCTGGTGCTGAGCCAATCCAAAGCCAGGAACCAGGAGCTCTTCCAGGTCTCCCACATGGATGCAGGCTCCGAAGGCTTTGGGCTGTCCTTGACTGCATTCCCAGGCCACAGGCAGGGAGCTGGATGGGAAGCAGGTCCACTGGGATTAGAACTGGCACCCATATGGGATCCCAGCGTGTTCAAAGTGAGGACGTTAACCACTACTCTATGGTGCTGGGCCCAGAACAGTTTTTTGGTTTTTTTTTTTTTTAAGATTTATTTATTTGGGCCCAATGGCATGGCCTAGCGGCTAAAGTCCTCTCCTTGAACACACCAAGATCCCATATGGGTGCCAGTTCTAGTCCCAGCTGCTCCACTTCCCATCCATCTCCCTGCTTGTGGCCTGGGAAAGCAGTTGAGGATGGCCCAAAGCTTTGGGACCCTGCACCCATGTGGGAGACTCAGAAGAGGTTCCTGGTTCCCGGCTTCGGATTGGCGCAGTACCATCCATTGCGGCTCACTTGGGGAGAATCATCAGACAGAAGACCTTCCTCTCTGTATATCTAACTTTGTAATAAAATAAATCTTAAAAAATTTATTTATTTTTGGACCAGCATGGTGGCCTAGTGGCTAAATCCTTGCCTTAAATGCTCCTAGATCCTATATGGGCACCACTTCTAATCCCAGGATAGGAGGCAGGCCTGGTGGGGGTTATTGTGGGTCGCTCAGACTAGGCTGAAGCTCCCACTGGTTTATATGAGGGCTGAGAGTGTGCTGGGCAGAATCAGATTGGACTGCAACACCCATTAGTTCCAGTGGAAGGCAGGGCTAGAAACAGAACCGATCCAGCAATTACAACCACAAGCTGATTGGGCGATAGAGTATACCCGGCCCTGTACTTGCAAGTACACACAAGAACCTGGTCTGGGTTCCTCAAAGTTTCTTTAGGGATCCCCTCAATTGAACTGCTGCACTCAAATCCCTAACCAAGAAAAGACAGGACAGAACAAATCAACCAACAAACCCAGCCAAATGCTGGCAGTGAAAAACAGGGCAAATGGAGAATCTAAGATGAACTATGTCAAAAAGTGGATTCTGTAGTGATTTCTTCATGCTTGGAAAGGCAAGATGGGCAGCAACTGATAACTGTTGAACTATCAAAACCACTTGAGCAAGACCCTCGGAGCATGCCCCACATTGGGGACCTGGGATGGGTGGGAGACTAGGTGGGGCTTCTCCCTTTACCTCCCCCTTTACCCCAGATATAGAAAAAAAAATGTGGAAATGATAGTCTTACCCACTTTCCTGTAGCCCTTGAAACTTTGTGCCCTAATTAACTATGTAAAGATTGTAAAAAAAAAAAAAATCAATCTCTGGAGCTAGGAAAGGAACAAAATGGAAAAATCACACTGCAGAACATCTTGGGAGCTAGTGTTTTGGCAGAGCTAAAGCTGCCACCTGTAAAACCAGCATCCCATATGGACCCAGTTTGAGTCCTGGTTGCTTAACTTGTGATTCAGCTCCCTGATATTATGCCTGGGAAAGCAGCAAAATATAGCCCAAGTACTTGGGCCATGCACACACAGGGGAAGCCAGGAAAAAGTTCCTGTCTATGATTTGGCCTACTCTCAGCAATTGAGACCATCTGAGGAGTTAATCAGGGCATAGAATATCCTGCTGCTTCTCTTTCAAATAAATTTTCAAAACAAAACAAAACACCTCCCTATTGCTATTCATTCACTTAAAAAGCATATCTAAAAGAATCCAGTAAAATTACTTTGATACTAGAAATGGAGGCAGCCCATGAATCTGAGTATGAAAAAAGAACATTATATGATCAGATGGTCTCAAAATCACCATGAGCAAATACAGTTTTTTTTTTCTTTCTTGGCTACTGAAATGGCTGGCATAGAGAATTACTTTCATTGAAAGTCCCAATTCTTCAACAATGTCAGAAAACTGATAAAAACACTGCTAGAATGAATGGTGCAGCACATCATGACGACACAATCTGTGCAAAAAAAGAAGTCTTGTGTTTGGAATCAAGCTGTTGGACTTTTCTGAATTCAATTACTATACACATTACTTTTTTTCAGCCACCAATACAAAATTGTAAATTAGCCAAGTCAAACTGAATACATCCTAACAGTAAGATGATGGACTCTCTGACAATGTCCATGCCTACATTGTCGGGAAACACTTCAATAACAGCATGATGGACTTGTGACTGTTCATGAAGGACATCCATTGTAAAACTAGAGGGGAAATCAATGGGGCGGGGGAGGGACCTTGGGGAAGGGCATGGGCAACCCCAGAGCCTATGGAATTATATCATAAAACATAATATTCTTAAATGTAAATAAAATAAATTAGCCAAATCAGTTCATGCATGATTAAAGAAAAGCATACTTATATAATGCTGATTTACTAGTGGGAAGTTCTTTATATGAATAATACAACTGTTCAAAGAAAACACAAATATTTCAAGTAATAATGTCTTATTTAATATTTGTTCAGTATCACAGAAATTTCCAAGGCAAAATACACTTCCATGAATGTGTAAAGGGTATTTCCTCACCACAAAATCCTTTATATTTTATATCTTCTAAGCAATGATTATTAATGCAGCTTATCCATCTAACTTTCAAGATAGTGTATGAAACACCAAAAGTAACAGCAGCACAAAACACTCATATATCATAACATAAGTTGTACTTGGGCTACACGGCATTTAAGACAAATACACTTGGTTAACTGACGCTTCTCACTGAAGAAAACAGTCATTCACAGCACTACTACCATTCACTGAGTGCTGAGTGATTAAGTGGAGGTACTTTTCTTTTGATCACGCAGTATTATATACATTACTACTGCTATTCTGTGGTTCCTGTGCTTAGTGAAGCTACTACTAACAGCAGGTCTCTTATATGTGACAGCAAATTAGAAAAAAGTATGGTACTGTTACTTAACCCACTCATTCAGCAATAGCCAACTTGTATCAATTCCTCATTTTTATAGTAACAACACAGAAAAACTGGTATTATGACAGACATCAGAGGCACTGTAAAATGTATGTAGTTCATGCTCCCAAGTAAACTGGCAACTGTGATACCAAAAGGTTAAATGTGTGACAAAGGAAAACAGCCATAATGCAATTAAGTTTCTCAGATGATTCGGTGATTAAATCAGTCACATAGTTTTAACATTTCATATTTCAAAAGGAGTATCTGTCAAACAGAAGTGGCTATTTTTGGTCCCATCTATGAAAGTATATATCTTCCCTCTGAAGCATTATTTCTAGGGACACAGGTTTCTAGTGTCTTCAAGGTTTGTAACTTGAACCATCCAAAATAAAATGCAATTGGATTACTGGCTAATGTTTGTCCTATATTTAGTATTTCTTTACATGCAATTAACTGTCACTTCTTGATAAAAATACAGCCTCCCTTGCTGGATCTATAGAACTTTCCCTCGCCCCTTGTGGTAATATTTATAATAATTAGTGAAACATGACCTCTGGGAAGGTCTCAGATAAGAAGTATGAGGATTACTTCACTTTGATGTAATTTCCTCCTCTGTAAGGCTCGAGTAGGGTGTGAAAGGCTGAGATCCACTGCATGCTCAGCTCACTCCAGTCTGCACTGATGCTGAAAGCATGCCCTGCACAACCTCCTGCATGACCTCCATGAACTGCATCCCTAGGATTTCTTCCCTGTGTGAGTTCTCTGATGATTAATGAGCTGTGATTTCTGTGAGAAGGCTTTCCCACATTCATTGCATCGAAACGGCTTCTCCCCAGTATGAATTCTCTGATGATTGACAAGCTGTGATTTCTGAGAGAAGGCCTTCCGACACTCACTGCATCCGTAAGGTCTCTCACCTGTATGTGTCCTCTGATGAGGTATAAGATGCGACTTCCGAGAGAAGGCTTTACCACATTCACTGCATTCGAAGGGCTTCTCCCCTGTATGTATTCGCTGGTGATTAATGAGACTTGACTTTTCCCTAAAGGCTTTTCTACATTCATTACATTCAAATGGCTTTTCTCCCGTATGAGTTCTCTGATGTCTAATTAGCTCTGACTTCTCAAAAAAAGCTTTCCCACAAAAACATTCATAGGGTTTCTGCCCAGTGTGGATTCTCTGGTGAGTGTTCAATTGCGACTTCTGGGAGAAGGCCTTTTCACAGTCCCTGCATTCATAGGGCTTTTCTCCTGTGTGAGTTCGCTGATGTGTCGCAAGGCTTGATTTCTCACCAAAGGCTTTCCCACACTCAGTGCACTCGTAGGGTTTCTCCCCTGTGTGTGTCCGCTGATGTGATATGAGATGCGACTTCTGACAAAAAGCTCTCCCACACACACTGCACACATAGGGTTTTTCTCCTGTATGAATTCTCTGATGGTTAGTGAGACTTAGCTTTTCACTGAAAGCTTTCCCACATTCGCTGCATTCATAGGGCTTTTCTCCTGTATGAGTTCTCTGGTGCCTAACAAGCTGAGATTTCCTACTGAAAGCTTTCCCACATTTGCTGCATACATATGGCTTTTCCCCTGTGTGTGTCATCTGATGTGATATGAGATGGGACTTCTGAGAGAAGGCTTTCCCACACTGGATGCACCCATGCGGTTTCTCTCCTGTATGAGTTCTCTGATGATTAATGAGACTTGACCGCTCCCTAAATGCTTTCCTACATTCACTGCATTCGTAAGGTTTCTCTCCAGTATGGATAGTCTGATGCCTAATAAGCTCTGACTTCTCAAAGAAAGCTTTTCTGCAATCACTACATCCATAGGGCTTTGTTCCTGTGTGAGTCCTGTGATGTGTAACAAGTTGTGACTTCCTACTAAAGGCTTTCCCGCAATCCCTGCATTCAAAAGGTTTCTCTCCTGTGTGAATTCTCTGATGGTTAATCAGATTTGACTTTTCACTGAAGGCTCTCCCACATTCATTGCATCCATAGGGCTTTTCTCCTGTGTGTGTCCTCCAATGGGATATGAGATGAGACTTCCGGGAGAATGCTTTTCCACACTCTCCACATTCATAGGGTTTCTCGCCTGTATGTGTCCTCTGATGGGATGTGAGCTGGGACTTCTGAGAGAAGGCTTTCCCACACTGGCTACAATCATATGGTTTCTCTCCTGTATGAGTTCTGTGATGTGTCACAAACTGTGACTTCTGGAGAAAGGTTTTGCCACAGTTACCACAGCCATAGGCTATTTCTCTGACATGTCTGTTCTGATGTCTAATGAGACTTGATTTCTTACTAAAGCGTTTCCTACACTGACTGCATTCGTAGAGTTTCTCCCCTAATCGAGTTCTGTGATATATGACAATCTGGGACTTTTTGCAGCTTTCATGATTACATTTAGCAAATTCACAGTGTTTAAACCATCTATCAGCTTCCTCAGGCTTGCTAGGTCGAAACAATTTATCAAACACAGTAAAATCATCTGACTCTATTCTCCCATAATCTGGTTCTGGTATCAGCAAATCTAAATGATGCTTTAAAATCAATCCACTTAAGTCACTCTCACTGTTTGATTTCCTTAAAGTAACAGGGTTCATGCCCAAATTTCTTCCAAAAGCATCACATTCATAATCTTTTCTCATATTTTTAAGTTTGTCTTGGTTATCCTGGTGACACATCATGCGATGATCCACTTGCCAGACTTTTTCTAGAAGAGAAACAAAAACCTGGTTGGTTGTGTTTTGGGGAGGGGAGGGAGGGCTAAAATGCTATATAGTGAGGGAATGACTGTTTTCTAAGGCTTAGTTTCCTAGTACAAAGTAAGTACAAAAAAATAACATTTATCTTCTAGCTCCAAGAAAAGAAAAGAAATTCTGAAAACTGGAAAATGGTTGTAATAGGTCATCTTTGGCTACTGACAAATATATTTACCAAACAGAATGTAAAAGGTACACAAAGAAAAATGAGCAACAAAGAAACAAGGCTGGAAGAATCACTCATTAAATGATCTGAGAGGGCCCGGCGCGATGGCGCAAGTGGTTAAGGTCCTCGCCTTGCATGCCCGGGATCCCATATGGGCGCTGGTTCTATCCCGGCAGCCCCGCTTCCCTTCCAGCTCCCTGCCTGTGGCCCGGGAAAGCAGTCGAGGACGGTCCAAAGCTTTGGGACCCTGCACCCGCGTGGGAGACCCAGAAGAGGCTCCTGGCTTCAGATCGGCATAGCATCAGCTGTTGCGCTCACTTGGGGAGTGAATCATCAGACAGAAAATCTTCCTCTCTGTCTCTCCTCTCTGTATATCCGCCTTTCCAATAAAAATAAAATAAATCTTTAAAAAAAATACATAAATGAGCTGAGAAACAGGATCACTTGATACTTGACCCTGCTCCAACTTAAAGATGACATCAGGTTAGACCAGGTCCACCTAAACTAGTAAAATCCAAGTTTTCAGCGTACTAGCAGTGGCATCTCTGACTATGCAGGAAGGAGCAACAGAGCAGATCAAACAAGTCAGGACAAAGAAAACCAAACACCCAAGTCTCAGATGTGAAACATAGGGAACAATGTCAGGACTCACATAAGACAGACATATTTGGTTTTACGCTAACAAAACATCTAAATGTGACTTACTTGAGTAGCTAAAATCAACTGTTCTGAATTACCACTAAAGGCTTGAGGATTTTTAAGAAATCTCGCAGACTTTTTAAGACATACCACATCACTGATCAACAGAGGCTCAACTTCCTCCATACCTAGTTGTTACGCGCTTACCTGTATTATCTGAACAGGGAACTTCTCTATCTCCTATCCAAGGCTCTTCTCCCTGCTCCAACTTGAAGATAATATCTGGTTTCACAACCTTATACCCTGTTCAGGGAAAATCACAAAGGTTCAACTGCTGAAGCTTTAGGGCTTCTGAAGCATAAGTAAGTTCATACCACAGTCAGCCTTCAATTCGCAAGGTCAAGGTCTCTCACGACTATACTGCAGAGAACAGTCTCTATGTAGGACTGCTACAATTTGCTACAATTCAAGCCCAAGCCTTGAGCCACATCGGAGTTAAAATCGTGGTTTTCCATGTAGCTATCAGTCCTGGGAAACTTACTTAACCACTCCTGGCTTCTATTTTCTCATAATATACTTTCTACACAGGATTGTACTGAAGACTATAGGAATCAATATCTGTGCAAAGCAATCAATACAGCTGATACAGTATGAGGCTTACCACAATTACTACTTAGTTAATTTCAGAGATAAAAACAAACTTAAGATCTCATTATTAGAAAATGAAATACAAATGTTTTTGCATTTGTTATTGTTCAATAAATTTTAACCTAATTTAAGTACACAATTGGTAAAAATTTCAGAGCTCAAAGCATTCAGTAACTAAAAAAAGGGGAAAGCAATTTATTGGGCACAGTTCAAGGTACTTGAGGAAGCTTTTTTATTACCCAGCGACACTAGGCTGCTATAGTTCTCCAACATGACATCCCTGTATAATTTCTTCTGATGAGGATCCAGCAGCTGCCATTCCTTCCGGGTGAAGTCCACAGATAAATCTCCAAATGAAAATGAGTCCTATAAGAGCACAATTCTGGTAAATTTGAAGCAGTGATCACTGCATGTTGTGAGAAAACCTAACAGTTTATTTGGACATTGTTATCACAGCAGGTTACATAAACGCCTACTACATCCCTACCTTTACATTGTACATATTTTCCCCTTAATGGTTTGTTTATATATTTGAAAGGCAGAGTGGCAGAGTTACAGAGACAGGAAAGGACAGCTTCCATCCACTTCACAAAAAACTGTAACAGCCAGGCTAACAGCAAGGGACCAGGAACTTCCTAAAGGTCTTTCATATGCAAGGGCTCAGGTACTTGGGCCATCTGCTGCTGCTGCTTTCCAGAGAGCTCCACTGAACAGAACCAATGTCCATATGAAAGGCTGACATTGTAGGCACAACTTAACCTTCTACATGGTAATACTGGCCCCCCTTCATTATATTTTACATGATAAAATGCCACTTTGCACTCTTCTAGGACTTAGGGGGAAGAGTGCTTGACCTTCTGTTTGGGAGGCTGGGGTCCATACTAGAGTATAAAGCTCAAACCTGAGTTCTGGCCCGTTAACGCAGACCCTGTTAAGGCAGTGACACTGACTCATGAAGTCGGGTCTGGCCACATACATGGAAGACCTGAATGAGATCTGGGTTCCTAGCCCTGGCTTGGCCCAGTCCCGGTCATTGTATGCATGAGGTAAATGAACTAGTGAATGGAAACAATGTTGATGTCCCTCTCAAGTATATGGAGGAAAAATGCAGAGACAGTATCCTTATTTCTATGTTATGCTGGGCTCTGTAAAAAAGGTAAAGTTTCAGGATAGTTGTTAAAAATTAATAGTATTTCCAATGAAAATTGGCATGTAAAGGCATTCTTAGAAGCAGCACCTCAAGCAAGGGAAAAAACCCTAACAGGGCTGAGCAGGTATTAACACTGTTAATGACTAACAGAGGATATGGTGTTAATTAGAGTAAGTAACACAGCAGAGGGGGAGCAGGTAGAATGCCTTTAACACTCTCTTGTAACCATGAAACAATTTTATAGGAAGGGGAAGAACAGAAGAAAAGTTCAATTTTAGAAATCTAAATATTGGATCAAGAGGGGACTTTAGTCCCAAAATCTGAGATAACACAATGCCACATTTAAAAAACCTACTGCACCAGTCCGGCACAGTAGCCTCATGGCTAGTCTTACTGTGCACATGCTGTGATCCCATATGGGTGCCAGTTCTAACCCGGGCGGACCCACTTCCCATCCAGCTCCCAGTTTGTGGTGTGGAAAAGCAATCTAGTTTTGGGACCCTGCACCTGTGTGGAAGACCTGGAAGAAGCTCTTGGCTCCTGGCTTCAGATCAACTCAGCTCCGGCTGTTGCAGCCACTTGGGGAGTAAACTAGCAGACAGAAGATCTTTCTCTCTGTATCTCCTTCTCTCTGTATGTCTGCCTTTTCATACATCTTAAAAAAAAAAAATCAGCACTACCAGAAAAGTTAAAAAAAAAAAAAAAGCATACTCTACACCTAGAGAAGTCAATTATAAAAAACACACATTTGAACAACAAAGAGGAAAAAACTTCCAAATGGACAGAGCTGGAACACTGTCCCAGGCCAGTGCCTTAGCACAGCTGGCTAAGGTAATGTTGGGTGTGTGGTGCTGCCTTCCACATGAGTGCCAATTCGTGTCCTGTCTACTTCCCATCCAGCTTCCATTCTGTCCACCTAAGGAATAAACCAGCATATGTAAAATCTCTCTGTCCCTTCTTCACTCTGTAAAATCTACCTTTCCAATAAAATAAATAAATAAGTAGGAAAAAAAAAAAAGAAATAGCACCACTAGGCAACTTAGAAAAACGAGCGCAAATAACACAGTCTACTGTTCTCCTCTCAAGTTTATTTCATGGTTAAAAGCAAAAATTGCAACATCATCGGGCCCAGCGCAGTGGCGCAAGTGGTTAAAGGTCCTCGCCTTGCACGCCCGGGATCCCATATGGGCGCCGGTTCTAATCCCGGCAGCCCCGCTTCCCTTCCAGCTCCCTGCCTGTGGCCCGGGAAAGCAGTCGAGGACAGCCCAAAGCTTTGGGAACCTGCACCCGCGTGGGAGACCCGGAAGAGGCTCCTGGCTTCAGATCGGCATAGTATCGGCCCGTTGCGCTCACTTGGGGAGTGAATCATTGGACGGAAGATCTTCCTCTCTGTCTCTCCTGTCTGTATATCCGCCTTTCCAATGAAAAAATAATAAAAATAAATCTTTAAAAAAAAAAAATTGCAACATCATCTTATATGAGTGTTCAATACTCACACAGATGATATACAAGACAACTATAATAGGAGACAGAATAGCATTCTCAAGTGTAAAATAATATGTGAAGTGTTTACATTTTTAAACATGGCTCTATAGAAAGAAATGGCAAGAAACAGACTGAAAACAAATAATTGTAAATTATATCTGACAACATACCTAATTCAAAATATTAAAGCAACTCTTCCAAATCCATAGTCAAAAGACAACTCAAGTTAAAACCATGCAGAATACATTAATGCATTTCACCAGTGAAGATACAGGAATGGCTGAAAGTCCAAGGGAGTAGTGAAACCGCTGTCATCCTACCCCGGAGTCCTGAGTGCCGTTCCCACTCTCTCCTGACCCGAGCTTCTCACCAACCCCAACGCTGCCCAGCTGGTTCCTGCCACCTTGTGAGGAGCTGAATTAACTCAGGCTGATGATGCAGCACACATATTACTCAAAAAAATGAGTAAATAAGGCTATTACATTATATTCACTAGAACGCTATATCAGAAATGTAAGAACAAGTGTTGGGAAGGAAGTGGAGGAAACAAAACCCTATGCTAAGCAGGAATGCACCCATATGGGAGACTCAGATGAAGCTCTAAGTTCCAGCACTGGCCACTGCAGCCATTTGGGAAGTGAATTGGCAGATGGAAGATCTAAGTTGTTCATATAAATAAACCCTTACAAACAAACATGAAAAACAAATACAAACTTTTCCTCCCCTTCCCTATGTAAGTGGCAGGAGCCCAAGCACTTGGGCAACCCTTGGCTGCTTTGCCAGGCCATTAGCAGGGAGCTGCATCAGTTGTCAGCTGACCAACTGACACCTATGCAGTCAGACTCCACACGCAAGTGACGTCCTGGATGGTCAACACAGCAATCCGTCTAGCGTCATCACGGGTTCTTCTTACAAGAGACAGGCATGAAAGCTCTAACGTCAACACCCTCCAGACTCTGCCCTGTTTATCTTTTTCTTCAACTAAAGGGCCTTGACTTACATGCTAAGTACTAAAAGTGCAATCCCATGTAAATGCTTCCCTGAGTTGTTATGAGTTGTTCTAGTCAATTCTCAAATCAAATCAAATCAAAGGAATCTTACTGAATTTATAGTTGATCAGGTCTGGGTATCCCCAGACATACAGCTGGCAACAGAGGACTAACTCAGGGGGGCTGACATCAGAATCAGCATAAAACTGCCACAGGGCACCACCATTAGATCTTGCAAGCAGAGCCCACAACAAAGATACTCCCTAATAATGCACCACTCTACCCTGCCCTGAGGTTCCAGCCAGTGCAACACCAGGCAAAGAAAACAAACACTTATAAAAAAAAACCCTATGGGCCTGGTGTGGTGGCCTAGCAGCTAGGGTCCTCACCTTGAACGCACCAGGATCCCATATGGGTGCTGGTCCTAATCCCAGTGACCCCGCTTTCCATCTAGCTCTCTGCTTGTATCCTGGGAAAGCAGAAGAGGACGACCCAAGGCCTTGGGACCCTGCACCTACGTGGGAAATCCGGAAGAGGCTCCAGACTCCTGGTTTCAGATTAGGTTCAGCCGCAACCATCACAGCCGCTTGGGGAATAAATCAATGGACGAAAGATCTTCCTCTCTCCCTCTCCTCCTCTCTGTGTATCTGACTTTACAATTAAAAAAATACACATATATATATATTTTTATAAAAGACACAAATGAGTAGATATTACAGCAAATAAAATCAAAGAACTGCATTTAAAAATATAAAGAAAAGCAATGAAGTGACAGTCTTCATTCGCCTTGTCAGAAGAGGTTGTGACTGGGAGGGCTCAGGGAGTGCCTCCCAGCAGCTTGAATGTCCTCCTGCTGCCCTGAGCTGTGCTCTTATGTCATCAGCTGATGATAACTAACAAACTGTACTCTCTTTCATGTACATTTGGCATCCGAATTAGGCTTCACAACTTAGAAAAATAAATGAATTGTTACTAAGTCCTGCTTGACAGTCTACCCTTGTGTTATATCTGAGGAATACCACTTTAAGAAAAGCCGTAAGATCATACATTTATCCCAGTTCCTCCTAATGACATTTACTTATCTATATATTTATTTTCTGTACTTGATCTTAGCCAAAAGGTCGAGAGACGATATATATATTTATTTTCTAAAAGCAAGAGTTGAAAAGAAAGAGATCTTCCATAACCTGATCCACCCTGCAAACAGCACCAAAGGCTAAAGCCAAGAGCTTGACCAAGGTCTCCCAAAGTGGGTAACAAAGGCCCACCATCTGAGCCATTTTCCACTGTTATTTCCAGGCCACCAGCAGGGAGCTGGATTAGAAGAGGAGCAGCTGGATCTCAGAACTATTGAAATGACTCAGCAGTACCTTCAAACATCCTCCACAATGGGGACTCTGGGATAAAATCGGGCGGCCATCCCCCGTTCCTGGGTACTGATGCAGGCTATCTCTCACAGGAAAGACAAAGGAGATTGGAAGCAATTGTCTCATCCACTTTCTCCCATTCCTCAACCTTCCCCACCTTAATCAGTGGTCCACATGGGCATGCATCCCTCTCAACTATGTAAACATCATAAAAAATAAAATGAATTTATTATTAAAAAAAAAAAAAAGAAATGGAGCAGCTTAGACTAGAATCAGGAACCATATGGAATGCTGACATTGCAGGCTGTGGACTTAACCATATGACACAATGCTGACATTTTTTATCATATATTCACCAATTTCACCAAGGAAAAATGAGTAACACATGATCAAATGATACTTCCTGTGAGGAATCAGTTTATTTTTTAAATTATGAAACTTACATAAACATCCATATTTCTTCGTTACAACTGCCACAAACCTGAAGGCCAAGTTCCCAATTCAAACTCAGTAATTACATAGGATACTATGGCTAGTAAGTGTTCTCAGGGACATATGACAAACATCTCAGTGCTGCATTTCTGATCCATCCTAATCTGCTGTGAGGTCCTTCACCTCTGCTTTCTTAGCCAGTTTAGATTCTCTTCAAGTCTTCTGATGAGGAACAAGCAACCTACTCACCTGTAGCACGGCCATCTTACTCTATGTCAGATGACTTTATTCCTGGCTCTTCTGTCTGCCCCAAGGCTCTGCCCGGAGGTGTTGGCAACAACTTTCTTGTTGCAGGTTCTTTTCACATCTCAGAGAAGCAGGCTTATTTGAACTGTGGACACAAGAACAAACATACTACAGCTACAACATTCTCATTCTGCCTGGAATCTCTTCTCTGGTTAGGAAACAGGAATTCATGATCATCTAAGGCTTGGCCAGAAAGATGTTTCCTTTTTAAGCCCCTGTAAGATAGAAACAGGTTATAGGAATGTCCATAAAGAGATACATATATAGCAAATGAAACACTTGGGAGAATCTTTCTGGGCTCACTGTGGACATTGAAATATTGTAAAGAAAAAGTTCTTTGGGCCCAGTGTGATGCCTCAGTGGCTAAATGCTTGCCTTGCATCAGCCAGAATCCCACATGGGCACCTGTTTGTCTCCCTGCTGCTCCACTTCCCATCCAGCACCCTGCCTGTGCTCTGGGAAAGTAGTAGACGATTGCCAAGTACTTGGCATCCTACACTTACAAGGGAGACCTGGAAGAAGCTCCTGGCTCCTGTTGTTGGATTGGCTCAGCTCCAGCCATTATGGCCACTTCCATCCTCTGAATCTCTCATCCACTAGCTCATTCCCCAAGTGGCCTCAGCAGCTGGAGCTGAGCTGATCCGAACCCAGGAGCCTGAAGCTTCTTCTGGGTCTTCCATGTGGGTGCAGGGTCCCAAGGCTTTGGGCTGTCCTTGGCTGCTTTCCCAGGCCACAGGCAGGGAGCTGAATGGGAAGTGGAATAGCCAGGACATAAATTGGTACATCCAAGGCACTGACTTAACAACTAGGCTACTGTGCCAGGCAATTTAGTTAAGTACAATTGTAATCTGAAAAACTGCTTATTTAATAAGCAATCCTAAATTCTCATTGCAGGGTGAAGATGCCTTAATCCCACACCAGAACACCTGAGTCTAATACTCAAGTCCTAGCTCCTGATCCCCCTCTTCTCCTCACAGACTCTGGGAGGAAGCAGTAGTGGCTTGAGCAATTGGGAATCTGTCAGACATGTGGATCAAATGCCCATTTCTGTCTTCTAGCTTTGGTTCTTGCCCACTCTCAGCCACCCAGTGAACAAGCAAATCAACACTCTTATTTTATTTAAAGATTTATTTATATTGGAAAGTCAGATTTACAGAGGAGAGACAGAAAGATCTTTCATTTACTGGTTACTCCCCAAGTAGTCACAATGGCTGGAGCTGAGCTGATACAAAACCAGGAGCCAGGACTCTCTTCTGGGTCTCCCATGTGCGTGCAGGTCTCAACGCTTTGGGCCATTATCTACTGCTTTCTCAGGCCACAAGCAGGGAACTGGATGGGATGTAGAGCAATCAGGACACTGGAGTTCTGGGTTGAGCTTGTTAGCATGGGATATGGCTGACCACCACATGCCAGTGCACATGTAAGCTATGGCTGGGGGCCTGTCTGGCAGGGCTAGATCCCAGTACCTGACAGTGAGTGTTGGATCAGGGGATGGGTCACATTAGACTGGGTTATGACACCAACCAGCACACAAGAGAACCAGGTCTAGGGGTGGATTCTGTGGAGATATGTGGGCCCAATCCTATGAACTACAAGTCCTGCTGGTTAGCTTGAGAGTTGGGATGGTGATGGGCTGAGCTAGACATGACCATGGAACTCACTGATGCTCACTAGTACTGGGGCTGGGAACAAGTGGGGCAGGTCCAGGCTGCAGCACCCGCATGAGCACCCTAAAACAGGGTATGGGGCAGGCCAAGCCACACCAGCTCATACAAAGGCCAGGACAGATGGGGCAGGCCATGTTGGGTAAGGGCCAAGTTCCCACTGACATGTGTGAGATCTGGGTTTGGGAGTATCCCAAATTGGGGAACCTGGGAAACTCCTCCTAGTGGGTCATAGCTCCCACTGATGAGCACGTGGTGCAGGCCTTGGTGTTGGGCAGGCTGGGCAGGATAGTTTCATCCATTGGCAAGTATGTTGCAGGCCAGGCAGAGCCAAGCAAATCATAGTTCACTGGCAAGTGCAGAAACCAGAATGGAATGCAGGTCATGCCAGGCTAGGCTGTCATACCTACTGGTTTGCATGAGCCAGGGATAAGAGCAGACTGAGCAGGGTCAGGTTGCAGCACCCACCAGTAAGAGGACTGGAGGCAGGCTGGGCCAGGCCAGGCTGCAGCATTCAAAGGCAAAGGCCAAGACAGGGAAGGGACTATGCCAAGCTAGATCAGAGCAACCACTGGCATGCACAAGATCTGTGGTAGAGATCAGGCCTGATTGGGGAGCTAAGGGGATGTTCTGGCTGGGTTGTGGGTCCCACTGGTGAGTGTAGGGGTGGGGCCGGAGTGGGGGCTGCGGGCTGCAGTCTGGTCTGGACATGGCTGCAGTGTCCCTTGGCATAGATGTGGACTGGGTCTGGGGTGTGCCAGACTGGGCTAGACTCCAGCACCCACTGGTGCTCGTGAGAACCAGGGTAGATGTAGGACAGGCTAGGCTAGGTCTCTGTCCCTGTTGAGACAAGCATGAACTGTGCCTGGGTATGGACTAGGCTTGGCTGGGATGTAGCACCCAACGGTAAGAACCAAAATGCATAAGGACCAGTCAGGATCAGCTAGGACAGGAGGTAGACTAAATAGGGCTGGTCCATGGACTCACCAGTGTGCACATCTGGCATTCAAAGAAATTCTGATGGAGGAGCTTGGGGAATTCCTCTGTTGGGACACAGTCCCTGTGGGTGAGCATAAGAACCAAGAAAGGGAGCAGCCCAGACCAGGCCAGGTTATGGCACCAGGTTCACCTTTCGCTCAGGTCTGGGATGAGCTAGCCTGGACCAGTTCATATCACCCACTGGCAAATCTAAGAGCCAGAATGGTGTGTGGGTCACACCAGGTCAGGCTGCAATACCAGCCAGTTCACATTAGGGCCAGGACGGGGGCTAGCTGAGCTCGCTAGATTGTAGTCCCCACCAGTGTTAGCTGGAACCGGGGACAGGCCAGGCCATGCCAGGATACAGCACCCACTGGCAAATGCTGAGGTGAGGTGGGCCATGCCAGTCCAGGTCTCAGTGCCTAACCAGCACACGTGAGACACAGGGGAGAGTGGGCAAACCCAGTAGGAGATCTGCAAGGAGCTGCAGTGACTGTACTGGTGAGTGTGAGAGTTGGGATGGGGGTAGTCCAGGCAAAGCAGGGCTACAACAACTGCTGGCCTGCATGTAAATGGACTGGAGACAAGCCAGGCTGGGCAGACTGTACCTACTGATACATGCATAAGCCAGAGTGGGTGAGGGTTGGTTGGGCTTTGCCGCAGCATCAGCTAGCAGATGCTGGCACAGGGGAAAACTCTGTCAAGCTAAACTGCAGTACCACCTGGAGAGTGCAAGATCCGAGAGTGGGAGTGGACCCAGTAGGGAAACAATGGACACCTCCCTCTTGGGTTGCCACTCTGACTAGTAAGCATGAGAACCAGAACTGGGACAGGCATGGCTAGACAGAGTGGTACCCGTTGGCAGGTGTGTGGGCTGGATTATGAGGCTGGTCAAGTTGAACTAGGCTTCAGTGCCCACTGACACATATGAGAGTTGAATGGGATGTTGGACAGACAGGGCTATGCTGTACATACTGGCAAGCACAGGAACCATGCTGATCTGGGCGAAAGACAGTACCAGACCCTGTAATGGCATGCACATACAAGAATCAGGTCTGGGATCAGCTCAGATGAAGTTTATTTGGGAATTCCACCAACTGAACACTGGACTCAGATTTCCAACCATGGAGATAATCTCAGGATCCATGGTCTGACTGTGGAATGCATGTGTTAGAACTGGGCCTCCTCAGTGGCTTAGACAGAGCAGTGGACAGCATATCCAGATGCATGTGGAGGATATGGCAGTACACTGGAGCCTGCAGAGGATACCTGGTACCATAACAGAAGACGAAGGACAGAACAAATCCATCAACTACCCCAGCCAAGAGTTGGCACTGAATACCTGGGCAAACAGAGAATCTAAGGTGAACTATATCAGCCAGTGGAGTCTGGAGAGGTTTTATCGAGATTGGAGTGTCAAGATCAGCAGTAATACAGAACTGTTGAACTATCAAAACCACTTGAGCAGGACCCTTGGAGCACGCCTGACATTGGGGAACCTGGGGTGATTGGGAGGCCGGGTGTGGCTTCTCCCCTTATTTTTCCCCTCCCCCTAGATACAGGAAGGAAAAAACCAGAATGTGAAAACAATGATCTCACCCACTTTCCTGTAGCCCTTGACCCTTTGCACCCTAATCAAATATGTAAAAAGTATCAAAAATAAAATTTATACAATTAAAAAAAAGAATTTAACAGAGACAGCATTGTGGCATAATGACCTAAATCAGTGTTCAACATCAGCAATCCGCGGTGGGATGAGAGTTGGAATCCCGGCTGCTCCACTTTGGATTCAGCTCGGTGCTAATTTGCCTGGCAAAGCAGCAGAAGACACCCAAGTACTTGGGCCAGCCACCCACAGAAAAGACCTGAATAGAGTCTCTTTAACTCCTGGCTTCAGCCTAGCCCAGCTCTAGCCATTATGGCCATTTGAGGAGTAAACCAGGGAATGAAAAATCTGTCTCTCCTTTTCTCTTTAAATACATTCCCAATGAAAATAAATAAATCATTATTAAAAAGGAAGGGCCTGGGGCCCGGCGCAGTGGTGCAGTGGTTAGGGTCCTCACCTTGCACGCCCGGGATCCCATATGGTCACCGGTTCTATCCCGGCGGCCCCACTTCCCTTCCAGCTCCCTGCCTGTGGCCCGGGAAAGCAGTCGAGGACGGCCCAAAGCTTTGGGACCCTGCACCCATGTGGGAGACCCGAAGAGTCTCCTGGCTTCGGATCGGCATAGTATCGGCTGTTGCACTCACTTGGGGAGTGAATCATTGGACGGAAGATCTTCCTCTCTGTCTATCCGCCTTTCCAATAAAAACATAATAAAAAATAAATCTTAAAAAAAAAAAAGGAAGGGCCTGGCACGATAGCCTAGTAACTAACATCCTCAGGATAGATGCACCAGAATCCCATAATCCGCTTCTGGATCAAAAGTGGAGCCACTAGGACTGAAACAGATACCACACAGGATGCCAGTGCTATAGGCGGGGGATAAGCCTGCCACACCACCATCTCATGACAACCCCCAAATTCACAAAAAACAAACATGTCATTGTGAGACCTGGTTCATGTAACTCCAGCAGTATGTATATTACCTTGCAGTATGTATATTACCCTAAAACCTCTCAACTGATCATCAGGAGAGCAGACAACCTTTATGATCTCCCAAAGCTCTAAGGAAATTCCAACACATACCTGATAGCTGCTGTAGGAGGGGGCCGGGGCCTACTCCAGACCTCAGCCTCTAACCAGACAGG